TTATAATTTTTTTAATACAAATGATATTACTATTTTAATTTATATAGAACAAATGGAGGATCTCAACCCAAAATGCAGCGGGTTGAAAAGAAAAACTCTAACCACAAGACAATTTAAGACTTGTCAATTAACAATATTTTATCCAACAAAAAACAAACTATAATCTTAGTTTCATATTGAGTTTAATTTTGAGGTAGTTTTACCGCTCTCAAGTATCATAAATTTCATACCCTTGCTACCCTTAGTTTTTTTTTGTTTCAGTTTCGTACCCAAACTTTGATTTTTTGACAATTCAATATTTCCATTAGGCTGTCTGTCAAGTTCTCCTATAAGTAATGAGGTGGCATAACTTTGGCTCATCATATTTGCTATGTGGATGAGAGATTCTCTTGTAAATCCAAGCCACCATGTCTAGTGCTAATTCTTGGGATATGATCGGCTAAGGTTATGTTGTGTCATCACTTAACAAAGAACTTGATAGAAAGCCTAACGAAAATATTAAGTGTCAGAAAAATCATTTAGGTATGAAACTGAAACGAAAAAAATTTAAGAATAGTAAAGTGCGAATTTCACAATACTTAATGATAGTAAAGAGAGAACTATCCTTAATTTTAATAATAAAAGGAGTATTAAGTTGCATGATTAGTCGATGATTGGCTCATATGCGTAGTTTAACTCGCCTAATTTTCTATGACTCAAATCAACTCCCTTTCCGTTGTAATCTTTCTATCCTCATTCATCAATATGGTATTTGATTTCCCCTATAAAAATATAAATGTTATTGGCATTCTAAATAAAAAAGTTTTCTGCTTATAAATTTATATTTATACTTTTAATTTTTATTCAATTTTAAAATCATGGCCCTGAGCCATTTAATATTATGGTGTAGTGGTATTTCTTTTTATTTGTAAGTGTGAGGTCTTAGGTTCGATTCTCACCAAAGGCGAATTTGAACCACAATATGGCTATCCCATTGTGAGGCTAAGCTCACTCCCCACCTCTTTGGTGTAGATAACATCATTTGTTAAAATATAAATAAATAACTTCTTTTGAAAATATAAATAAATAAATAAAGAATGAGAGCACTATGACTATTTTGAAGTGAACAACAACTCCCAAAATAATTTGTATTGAAATGACTTATTAACTCGTTGGTTTATATTTATCGGTTACAAAATGTTTAGAGGAAGGGAAGGCTACCCCATTTCAGGATCAAGGCATATCATATGTTTATTTGAGGACTTACATATCTTAGTTTTTTTGTTTTTTCTTAAATATGCAACTGATTAAGTTAGTTCATTGTATTATTTTGTGAAGAAAAATGGTCATGCAAGACACATTTAGAGTAGGATAATAGACGTGCGTGGGAATTCTAATGAGCAATATATTGTTAATAAAAGTACTATATTTTTTTCATGAAAAATTACTGTAACTTTGGAATTTGAATCCATATCTACCTTTTGCACAAAATCAATCACTTGCATCATATTGTTAAAATGTTTTTTGAGGGTATATGTGGCATTTAACATGGTCTAATTTATTTCCAAATGGAAGTAAAACAAATACAAATATAAAGGGCAACTAAGAAATTGGCAAAAAAATCCAAGTTAGTGGGATTCAAGGGTAGCCTCTCACTTTTGCATCAAGGTTGAATAGATAAAGTAAAATAGGTAATGATAATGACCATATAGCAATGTTGGGAAATTCATGATGTGAAAGAAGCACCCACCTTACCAAATGGTTTCCACTAGCTTTATACTTGTGTCACCAACACAATAAGGATCACTCATTTGCCTTCAAATGATAGGCAAACAAATCACTCCAATCCAAAGACATCCCAATTCTATGCCAACAATCTTAAGGCTCGTTTGAAACTGTATTTAAAATGACTGAAAATGCTTTTAAAAAAATATTTGTGGATTCTAAAAGCACTTAAAATGTTTCTTGAAAAGCACCAGTTATGTGCTTCTTTTGGGAATCACTTCAAATGTTTTTCTATGATTCACTTGCATTTTTACTAAAAATTAGGTTCTAAAAATATTTCACAAAAAAACACTTTTATCCATTTTAAAAATAATTCCAAACAAACCCGTAGTCACAAAATAAATGCTAGAAGCAATCTAAAAAATTAAAAGAGAAATTGTCTGAAAAGTCGAATAAAAATGCTAAAAGTAGATGCTCACTTGCACATAAAAGACTGATTCTAGCACATTTCTTGTCCAAATTCAAATTCAAATTCAAAATAAATAAATAAAGAAGGGCCTATAGAGCGCATGATGGACTCTCTAGAGACAAATATTCCCACGTCCGTGCCCGATAACACGAACAATTTGTGCATTGAATCGGTTTCTCCCATAAAAAATTTGTATACACAAATAACTAGTGTGTAGACATAATGAGACACTCACTAATTGAGCTAAACGTATTAATTTTTAAGACAAAAATAGAAAACACAATTCATTATTGTAAAGGAAGAATAACAATTGGACATTTTTTAATCATGTTTCATGGAAGTGATGTAATGCACATAAACATAACATGTTGTTTTTTTTCTAGCCCACCATCTTACCTAGTTTGTTTTTCTTTAAAAGAGAGACCAGCTGGTAGGGAAGTCACGCCAGTTCACCCTTTGGGATGTCGGCAAGACTCACAAAAGTTGTTCAGACCACCATCGCGTGATTCATCAATACAAAAAATCGAACCCAGGACTTAGTTTGTTGGATTCGAGAACCTTTGGTTTGTCAACCCTTAATTTGGATTTTTCAAATGAATAATTTGGTTATTAAAATAGGATTTGGATACCACCTGGATTCAAATTGTGAAGATCTTAGAAATCATCACATCTTAACCATTCATCGTATATCGTGCAATCAGAAATCATTTGAATTTTATTATTTAAAATTAAACACAAATAATAACTAATAAAAACTGACCGTACAATATACAATGAATGACTAAAATGTGAAGATCTCTAAAACCCCATAAAAAGAATCCGAAAAAAATTTCTCATCTATTAAAATATTTTAAAGGGAATGTCACTTGCCGAGTAATATATCGGTCACCAAGGTCCAAAAGTAGGCCGAAAACCAAGAAAGATAACGGTCCAATTTTACATCCTTTAATATTAGCTTTAACAAACCATGTATTATGGGTGGAAAACTTTAATCCATATTGTTTTTGTTTTTCCTTAAATAAAGTATAATTAAAAAAATAATAGTTAAAGTCATCCCACTTCATTGTGGCCCATTTGGAAGTGGACCTGCATCAAGGGAAAGTTGGGCCTGCAACCTAAAAAAGAAGAAAGCCCAATTTCTAAATATTCATTAGGTTTTTTAAAATGCAAAATATGATGGTTGACAAATGTGAGTTACCAGTAAACTAACCACTTATGCCGGTAAACTAATCATTTACGGCTCGTTTGGAAGTTTTTTTTTTTTTTTTTAACGAGTGAAAGTGTTTTTAGTGAAATTTTTTTTGGAATCAATCTTTGATAAATATGCAAGTGAATCACTTCAAGTACTTTTGGAACCCAAATTTTGTTTTTTTAAAGAGCTATTTTATAAGTACTTCCAAATGAGCCCTTATATCGTATAACTATTCTGTATTGAAGAATTTAGATATATCCATTACTTCTCGTCACTGAGAAAGTTCTTATATAGAACATAGAAGAATGAAGTATTGAGAAAAGAAAATGAAGTTAAGAGAAGTTCATTAATAAGAAATATTTGTTACATCAATCTCACATTGGATCCCACTAGTAAGTCACTTTCAACCGCTACTTATTTATACTTAGAATGTCACTGTAACGGTATCTCAAATCAGCGAGGCACAATCATGTGATGAAGTTAAATATATTAAAACACCGTCACAATTACATCCTAAACGTAAGTCTCTTTCCTTCAACTAATAGAATAAAGTAACCTATCTCCTAAACCAAAATGGGTGAGCAAATGTGCTATATTATTATATGCAAGTCCAAATTTTCTTAACCGTTTTGTACTCTTAAAAGCTAAGAGCTTTGTTGGAGATACAGAAGTGCAGATGCTAGCAAGACAAATACAGAGACTCTCCACACAAAAGCTTAGCTGGAAAGCATGTGAAAAACTCAGCCACCATGTTGTAGAGTTGTGAGGTCATTCGAAGGAATGGCATTTGACATGTGGATCTCAAATCTTTATATAAAGACACACCATGACCATTTAACTTGTGGTCCCAAAAGTGTAATTTACATAATGGTGGGGTATTGGTGGTGTGTAGTGGGTTGTGAAAGTTAGACTGTAGAGGTAATAATGGTGGTAAGAACAGTGGCAACAATAGTTATGGTTATAATGGTGGTGACAGCGGTGTAATGTCCATTTCTCCAGCAACCATTACCAAGCATTTGTTGGATAATTAGAAATTAAGAAAAAGAGGGCTTACACCTTACTATATATCAACGGAATTGATTTTATCACAATTTTTTTCTTCCATTTGCGCATTATGTTTGTTTTTATCTATTAATTTTATTTACTTTATTCAATCTAACAATTAGAAATAAGCGTAAAGTATGCATGTGGAAAAAAAAAATTAAAAAAAAGTGTGCTAAAATCAGTTCCATGTATCAAGTATTATACAACCCAATTATTAGTTCATGCAATGAATTTATGATTTAAGTATGAATTTAAAAACAATGGAAATTCAGTCCTCATGACTCTCTTGTTCTAGAGAAGTAAATATATTACTTGACATGCAATATATAACCTTGACCAAGCATTCACACCATAGTTTATTACTTAACATGCCTATCAACAATATGACATAATTCTCATTCATTGTACTAAGAAAATTTGGTGGGGAGAGAAAGAAAGTATAAGAAAATTTGAAGAACCTTATCTTGAATTTACTAATCCAAAACCGTTCTCTTGGAGCCTCTAAAAGCACCAAAAACTATTTTCCTCCACACATCCACACATCCACACACACCCCTATCTGCTGAGGAAAGGCCAACAAATCTTTTACCCATCACCCACTATGTTATACATAAACTCCCCCGACCAAAAAACACATCTCCTCTCTCTCTCCTCCTTCTCTCCCTCTCTGTCTCTCTCTCTCTATCTCTCTTCATCTAACTCATAAGCTCTGAGCAGTTCCAGCCAAGTTGCAGCGCTCTTCTTTCTTCAGGTAAATATAAGGCAATGAACATTTTTATGAATGGGTAATGGGTTAGTCAAGCATTCATTCAAAATTAACAATGTCTGATACATTTGACCGTTTCTTGTATGAGTCTGTTACTCCTGCTGCAAAAAGTAAGACAAATGGTAGATTTTAAGTATATTTTCTTTCTTTGTTTTTTCTTTTTATTTTGTGAGAATTATTACTATCTTGTTTATTTTTAGGTGGGGTTTTGTTTTGTCTTTTCCTTTCTTTTTTGAAATTGCTTAATCCAATCGCTCATAAATTTTATGATGATGTTACTCATGCATTTATTTTTACTTCTCACATACTTCTTTCGATTTTTTATTGTCGAATCAATTGAATTAAAGAAGATCAATGCATAAAAGTTAACGAGTGTGTGTGAATAGTACCGCTCTAATTTTAATACAAGAAACGAAAAAGGGAAAGAGTTGGGGTCTTTTTAGTCATTTGGTACGTGCTTTACAATGTCAAATGTGCCTTATTCCTCTTCAATTCTTTTCCACTTGTCCCACAAATACTAAAGCTGACCTGTTTGATTTTTCTTTAGGTCTCTAAATTATTTTTTTGGATAAAATAAGTCTTTAAATTCATTAAAAATTGTTATTTTCATCCCTATTGTTATATTCAAAGCTATTTTATCCATTTTTTTGTCAACTTAAGTCACTTGACATATTTTAGAGTGTAACATCGTCCTTTTCTTGCCTATAAGCTCTTAATATTTCATATAGATTGTGAATCAAACATCTAATTCACTATCCAAAGTTAACTTCATACACTATTTTATTATGAAAAATTACTAATCTACCCTCTAATATTGTATCACAAGCAAGTAATATGACTTAAATTGATGGAAATTATAGTAGTTTCAAATCTAATATTGGGGATGTAATTAACAAATTTTTATGGTTCAAGGACTGATTTTTTCTGAAAAAAAATGAAATAGTTTAGGGGTCTAATTTTCACTCAGTGATAATTCAGAGACTAAATTGGTAGTTCATCCTTTTTATTTTCATACAACGATATTCACCAATAGTAATTTCTAAACGCTAATGTGCACTGCTAATTAGTGCTAATTTTCTTTCGAATGTTGGAAGAGGTCACAAGTTCAAGGGCAAGACAATACCGCTAACTTGAAAAGCTCACGAGATGTTAAGCATGGTAAAACAATTGCGGTAATGATAAGAAAGCAATGCATAAACAAGTGCTTAACGTAGAATTTGGAGTAGCAAGAATAGACACTGCATATCCATATAAAAAACAAAGCAGAAGGAGAGACGAGGCGGTCGATTCGATGAATTTCATAGTTAAATTGTATAAGAACTAGAAAACACTTGGTCTGTCATGTTATATAATGGAAGGAATGCAATTTCGTCAGTGTTGTGTTTTGATGTAAGTTTCGCAAGTTCGATAGATCTTGATGTTAAGAGGCCTTGATGCGTTTACTTACAAGTCCTTGATGATGGTTTATACTGTTTTTCAGTGAGGAGTAGGCCGAAATGGCGCAGATTTTGGCACCCACTTCACAATGGCAGATGAAAGTTACAAAGAGCTCAGCAACTGCCAGTCCTATGACAGCAAAGATGTGGGGTTCTCTTGTGTTGAAACAGAACAAGAAAGGACCAACTCGGAGCTCTACTAAATTTAGAGTGCTCGCCACCAAGTCCGAAGGTTATACCATAAACAGGCTAGAGGGTTTACTAAACCTCGACCTCACTCCATTCACTGACAAGATTATTGCCGAGTACATTTGGTATGCCTCATCTTCTCTGCTAGCATCTGATATTCGTAATGCATGTTAACATTGTTCATTCTTTGATATCACGGTAGGTTGCTTCCGAAAAATGTTTTGATCTTTTATCATTTTGAAACAGGATTGGAGGGTCAGGGATTGATGTCCGTAGCAAGTCAAGGGTATGATAAACTATCCATGGACTTTTAAATTTTAACTTGAAAGTTTGAAGTTTAGTCTCATGCATATCCTTGTTTACAAAATTTTCAGACAATTTCAAAGCCTGTTGAAGATCCTTCTGAGCTTCCCAAGTGGAATTATGACGGATCAAGTACCGGACAAGCACCCGGTGAAGACAGTGAAGTAATCTTATAGTAAGATCAGCACAAAACCACGTTGTTGGTTGTTTCTCTTTATTGTTACAACAGGAACTTGATATAACTTCTATTTTCCAGCCCCCAGGCGATATTTAAGGACCCTTTCCGTGGTGGCAACAATATTCTGGTAGGTATCATATATAAATGTTTGTACCATGATGTCCGGTGAATTTAATCATATAAAACTTAGCTGACATCATTCTCTGTGCTATGCAAAGGTAATTTGCGATGCATACACACCGCAAGGCGAGCCTATCCCAACAAACAAGCGCGCCAGGGCTGCTGAGATTTTCAAGAACAAGAAGGTTATAGACGAAGTACCATGGTAATTTCTCCTTGATACTTTTGCCTTGGTTTTAAGTTGCGTGTGTGCGCGCCTGCCTGCGTGTCAGGTAGGAGATTAGGACTGGAATTATAATTTTCATCTCTTTGTATGCTTAGTGATTAACAGCGTTGTCAAGTTTATGTACATAAATGTGTCAAGTATGTGTTACACTACGATTACATATTTGGATTCGAGAATCTACTAATCTCGACCATTATTTTCAGGTATGGGATTGAGCAGGAGTACACATTACTCCAAACCGATGTGAAATGGCCTTTGGGTTGGCCAGTTGGAGGTTATCCTGGTCCTCAGGTTGTAATTCTGTTTGCAAGTATCTGTCAGTTCAGCCTAAATAGTATCATTTCTAGTAATTAAAGTCTGTCTTATAAAATCTTTCGCCATCAGTAAGTATCGGGGGTAATAATGCGTCTATTTATCGCAGGGTCCCTACTACTGTGGTGCTGGTGCTGACAAGTCATTCGGCCGTGACATATCAGATGCTCACTACAAGGCTTGCCTATATGCCGGAATTAACATCAGTGGCACCAATGGGGAGGTTATGCCTGGCCAGGTTCTCCTCTTCCTCTTCTCTATCTCATCCTGTTTCGAAATTCAAGTACTGTAGTTACCTTGCTTCATCCATCAGTAACAATTATCGGTGTTATCATGTAGTGGGAGTATCAAGTTGGTCCGAGTGTGGGAATTGAAGCGGGAGATCATATCTGGGCTTCACGATACATTCTTGAGGTAACTCATCCCGGCCATAACTTGGCGGCAGTTTTGCAAATGAATGGTATCATTGAACTAGTGTTGGTGTGTCGATGTGTCCTATGATTTACTAAACATTGTCTTTCCCTACCCCGCAGAGAATCACTGAACAAGCTGGTGTTGTTCTCACACTTGATCCAAAACCGATAGAGGTAAATAGTTTTTGCCATATGCCGGTATTTTCAGTAAATATGTGCAGATGAAAGAACTTGTCTCCTATTTTGCATCGACAGGGTGACTGGAACGGTGCAGGATGCCACACCAATTACAGGTATTTGGACGATATAACATTGATGAAATGGACAATATAGATGTATAATTGGATGGTATGCTATAACTGTTAGGAAAAATAATATATCGAATAACATTGCTTTCACAGTACAAAGAGCATGAGGGAAGACGGAGGCTTTGAAGTTATTAAGAAGGCAATTTTGAATCTGTCACTTCGCCACGGTGAGCACATTAGTGCCTACGGAGAAGGAAATGAGAGAAGGTTGACAGGAAAGCATGAAACAGCCAGCATTAACACATTTTCTTGGGTATGCCTCAAATTGTTACCTGTTGGTATTGAACTTTAATCAATGGAACAACGGAATTTGCCATCATATATTCATTACTAAATACCGGTTCACTGGATTTGTAGGGAGTGGCTAATCGTGGTTGCTCAATCCGTGTTGGTCGTGAAACTGAGAAGCAAGGAAAAGGTACTAGTATCAGTTTCAGTATTACTATCTTAACCTGTGGTTAAATGTTAAAGTATGTTTCAGCGTTGTCTTTTTTTCGTATGCTTCACCAGTATACTCCCGGCGTTTGCCTTCTGATATGTCACTTTTATAAACGACCTGCACAACTGAACCTTTCGATGTTGCTTGCTCTTGTATTAGGTTATCTGGAGGATCGTCGTCCAGCTTCAAACATGGACCCATACATTGTGACCTCACTGCTGGCAGAGACTACATTGTTGTGGGAGCCAACCCTTGAGGCTGAAGCTCTTGCAGCTCAAAAGCTTGCATTGAACGTCTGAAACCAATTCGTCGAAGATAATCCACTGGGGCTTCAAATGCTGTCAATTGGGACAAAACAGCCAAATGTGGAAAGCATTTTCCCTCACCTTTTAAATTCTTTTGAGAAGATCCTTTGTAAATAAAGGTTCCATTGTCAGTGATTGTTCATCTCATGCTCAACTGTCAACTTTGTAGACTATTTTCTTGTATCGAAGAAATTAATCGTGTAGATCAGAGCGCCTTAATTGAATCATTTGACAGTTTATTGGATAATTTACTTAGCATATGAACTCTGGTTTTGTGCATAAAAACTAAAGTTTGGAACTGATTGGAACGGTTCATTCTCGTTCAAGTCTTCTGTTAGCTCCAAATCCTCCGTTCCTACAAAATTCACCAAAATCTGAAAACACTATGTTCATCTACTTTTATAGTCACGCATAGACAGCTAAACGTTCTTCATTAGCTTCTGGTACAAGTGAGCTTTCAATGAACGATTTCAGATCATGGGATACATTTTGTGTCGAACTTATTAACTGGTTAGCACTCAAGCCCTGCTGTTTACAATAACGCTCATTTCTTTTGCCAATAATCATTGAACAGAGAAAAGAAAAACTTTATTCTTTTATTTTGTGTGCTTCGCAAGGAAACTTTATTCCACCAAAAAATAAATTAAAAAAACCAAAAAATTCTTTGCCCCTTCCCTGAGGCAATCCCCATGAAGGGAAAGAATGTAAGCCATTTCTTTGAATTAAAGACAACAATTTAATATCCAGAATATATACTTCTGTAAGCTAAGCTCAATAAGCGTGACAGTATTTAGTCCTTCTCTTTCCATCTCCCCAAACAAATTCAAAGGCCATGGCTTCCGGAGGGTCAAAATCTGCAGCATCAATTCTCCTAGTTGTTAATCTTATTCTCTACTTCATTGTCATTGTCATTGCTTCTTGGGCTGTCAACCATGGAATCCAAAGATCTCGCGAAACTGGTAATTATTGATTTGCATAGTCCTTCAATTACGAGAAATCTTCTGGCGTGACCATCATCACAGCGTCATGTGATTGAATTGTGGCGGTCACGCTGAACAATTTCTCGTCAATTACAACTTAGTTGTGGTAATTAACAACAATTAATGTGCTTGCATATGCAGCATCTGTTCTGTCAATTCCAGCTCGGATATTTCCAATATATTTTCCATTTGGGAATTTGGCAACTGGGTTCTTTGTGATCTTCTCCCTTATTGCTGGAGTTGTTGGATTTGGGACCTCACTCACCGGGCTCCACAACGTTTTCAATGGGACCGTCCCAGCTTGCACACAGCTGCTGCCTCTTCTCTTGCTACTTGGTCACTCACCCTTCTTGCCATGGGGTGAACATTTCCGCTGCTGCTTGTTTTTTTTTTTTCTTTGTAAACTAGAAAAAACATCCCAACAACGATAAATTTTATATAAAAGCATTTTAAGAGCTCAATTCGAGGGGAAAAAACCAGTTTTTCTATCTACTTGTTATCCTTCTAAAGTGTAACGTTATCAAACACTTAATTGCGAATTTCATCTCCACTTTTGCTGTTTCAGATTGGCTTGTAAAGAGATTGAACTTGGTTGGACAGATGCCAACTTGGTAAGTTACTGCTTTTAATTTTGAAACATAAAACCAATGGGAGGGTCATTGGTATTTGGCGAGAAATACTTCCCTATCACCGATTTGTATAAACAGTCATATGAATTCTCTCTCTCACTATGTGACTCTCGTGTAATAACAAATATAGATACAACCGGTTGCACTTAGACCTAAGCTTTTCTTGTACTAGGCACACTACAATTTATACTAGCAGCCTTTCTGCATGAAATAGATGCATATACATTGTCCTTTCGCACACGATCCTCATCCACCAGTCGTCACATGATTAATAGTTGTGAAAAGAAAGTTACATACATAATACATTCTTCACAAGTAAGAATTTTCAGGTGGATCATATAGGGAAAGAGCATAGAGTAGTAATTTTTTAAAGTTTAATTGCATAAAGACATGAATCTTAATTACATGACTAATCATGGTATTATGTATTGGATTAACAGCGTACTTTGGAGGTCATAACAATAATTGTGAGTGCAACACAAATGTTTTCCACATGTGTCATTCATGCTGGGGTTGAAGATGCTATTGCTCAAGAAAGTGGACGCATTGGAAGAGTTTAAGTACTTGTATAAGAAAATTTACTACAAGCGAGATTTTACATTAAATTTATCTAAATTATAAGAGAAAAATTTAAATTTGCGCGCAGAATAAGAAGCATATGTATGAATGAATTACGTATTTTCGATATGAATGTTTGTTCTTAGTATCGCTGTATGTATTGATTTCTACACTCTACTTTTTTTCGTTTGTCATGTTTAATTTTTGTTTATTAATTTCTTTATTTTCGTCTTCATTTGCGTATATTTTGTACGGTGCAATTTTTATTTTCGATATCCACGTTTTTTTGGATTGCTTCTTTTGGCTATCCATTGTATTATCGTATGAGGTTGCGATGCTTTTTCGACTCCATACAGGCTGCCTCGCTCTGAGTATTCATAAACCAAGAAAATGTAACTTGTCCTCGATCAAAATCCATATATCCTTATGATGTTGCGACGTCAGATGTTTGTCGAAATTCGGATTTCATTCTCAAAACTTGGGAGATTGATTGCTGAAATATCAATAAAATCTTCGGTGTTACATTGAAATATTGAGTGTGATACCAATAATATAAGAATCAAACTCTAAAGTGGGCCGGAAAATATGAATGCTACGAGATTGATTCTTATTTTAAATTCAATAGATTGAACTCATGACTATAATGCCTATACAAGAGAGAGAAGAGATAACCAATCATAAAACAATCAATACAAACACCAAACTTTGAAGGCAAACTCGTGCCATTTCCCAACTATTGCTTAGAAATTAGACCCCATTTCTCACCTGCACAAGTAACTGGAAAATAATGGTAATCTTCATAAACAACCAAATATTTACATGACTGGTACATATCAACAGCAAATTATCCAAGGCAAATCAATGGTCTTTCTGTTACATAACCTAGACCGACTGTCAAAATAAGGACTAGCTACTTATGCAGCTCAAAAACTTCAAAATCTATCCACACAGACAATGAGAGATGACTGACTCTTGTTCCCCACACACTTACCTCTGCCAACAAAGTTTTCGTCCGCCCTCTCGCATAATTTCGTAGGCGAGCTTGTGCTTTTCAAGCGATGTTGCCCCAGCCTCTATGTATTTACAGGCTGCTTCTCTCAAACTCCACACCATCAAGGCCTTCAGCTCTTGAGGGTTTCCACCCAATTCAGATTCACAAGGAATACCATATTCAGCATTTCTAGTCCAACGGCGTAAGATATAGCAATGGGGAACTTCTTTTATGTCCAAGATTTGGAAAACTCTCAACACATGCCTACATAGTATACCTTCAAATTCAAACATTCGACAGCTACAGCCCACTTCGGGAATGGCCGCACCAACAGTGACTATAGATTTCTCATCGTCATTCCCACACTTGCGGACCAAGTACCTGATGATTGCCCCTTCATCATAAATCTTAAATCCTAGATAACTATAGGATTGTAGAAGTTCTTTCTGAAATACCCTGAATGTGTTCAGTGTATAAAGTCTTCTACATTGTTCTTCTAATGGTTCTTTCGTCTGCAAGTAAGGTTTCAAGTTAAAAGAGTTAAAATCCTCTTTTATTTCTTCTTCACGCCGTCGCTCAAGACCTCTTTCATATTGTGAAACAAACTCCTTAAGTGGTGTTTGGGCATTGAAATGTGCACCAAAGAATGATTCTATACTTTCATTGAAGGGGATGCCAGCAAAGAATGTAGCTCGTAAGTATAATGGAACCCAACTCCTGCGCTTTTCGTACATTGCTTTCAGCCAAGCGTTATCCTTCAACCCATACCTACTGAGGAGTGCATTCCATGCGGTTTCAAATTCATTGGCTGTTTGACACTGATAAATGCATTTTTCATATTCATATTTAAAAGAACCATTCATTACGCTTAGATGCTCACTTTCTTTTGCCTTGATCTGCCATAATGAGAAACGATGATGGGTTCCTGGAAGAACTTGCATGATGGCCTGCTGGATCACATCATCTTGGTCAGCTATTATTGACAGAGGACGACGCCCTGACATTGCCCTAAGCCATGTTTGAAACAACCAAGTAAAAGATTTCTCAGACTCATCAGCAACTAGGGCACAGCCAAGAAGCACCGGTTGCTTGTGGTGGTTGATTCCAATGAAAGCGGCAAATGGCACCAGATAAATACTTTTCCGATATGAGGTGTCAAAAATAATGGCATCACCAAACTGGCTGCATGAAAACCTAGACCTCCCATCAGCCCAGAAAATACTCATGCAATTACCATTATCAACTTCTACTGCATAAAAGAATCCTGTATCTTCAGCCTGTTTGGTTTGAAAATAGTCAAACAGCACACTGTACCAATCACTTCCAATGTGATTTTCTCTATGTCTTTTGACAAGATTACCATTGTTTATGTCAACAATATCTTCAATCTCCAGCCCTCCGATCTCCTCTTCTATGAACTTTTTTGAAGAAAATAGATTTTTCTTTTGAACTTCCAGGTGAGACTCAAACTCATGGTTATGATTTTTATCAAAACGGTCCACTACCCATCTTCCAGAATCTTGTCTCTTAATCCTCATGTATGCCCCACAACCAACTCGTGATGGATGCTGAAACCCTTCCTTTGAACACACAAATCTCCGAGATGTAATTGACCCATCAAGCTTTGAACGAAACAATTGACCAATCCTGATTCTAAATCCTGCATTCTCAGCATATGCATGATAAAATTGGTATGCTTCATTGGCTGAATTGAACTCTAGACCTGCAGATAGATCAACTTCTAACTGCATTTCATCTCCACCCCGTTTTAAGCGCTTGGCAGTTATAACTCCAGATGGGCAAGGTGGTTTATCCTCAATTGCCTTAATCAATTTGACTTTTGGCCTATGAGACACTTCAACAACCTGAATTTGTGGGCATTGAACTCTTCTTCTGAAAAATCGGGGAATGATTTTCCTCTGTAGATGATCCAAGACCATGATTGTGATCCTTCAGGAAAAGGTCTACAACCCATTTCCCAGAATCACGTCTCTGCACCCTTATTAATGCCGGGCATCCTGTCCGTGAACTAATCTGAAACCCCTCCTTAGAGCACACATATCTTCGAGAAGAGACTGATCCATCAGTTCTCGAGCGATACAACTGACCAGTTCGAACTTTAAACCCCATCCGTGCTGCATAGAGAGTGTAAAAATCACGGGCAACATCTGCTGAATCAAACTCTAACCCCACATACGGTTCTAGTACTCCAGACTCTCCCTCATCCTCTGTATCGACAGCATTCATTGGAGGCATCATTCCTAAAGGGTACGCCTCAATAACTAAGTTGTTCCCACTGTCTTCAATCTTAGAACCAGTATCTAAGCTGCGTCACACGAAATAAAAACGACATGAAAAATCACAACTACATTAGCCACAACAACTTGATTAACAGTCTGAAACAACATTAACCGATCCTCAAAAGCAAACTCTATGCAAAAACTAATCTATTAACACGTTCAGCAACTCAGCAGCGCATGAATGTGAATAGTGATTAGCAAAATAATAAAACAAAAAACATAATTATCAAATCAATAAAAACAATTTCTCAGCAACCAAACACAGCCTTATCCAATTAAATTAAAGAAAAATACTCGATTTCACAAATACAAAATGCACAACAAAGAATTAAGCTTGATTGGGTAAGACAAATCAAATTGGGGAAAAATCAAACTTAGGGTTTAAGTTTCAATTTACCTTCTGATATTTGTGAAGTGGGTGGAGCTGGATTCCATGCCCATTTCTGAAATTAATAACACTACCAGTGGTGAGCGATGATTTCGAAGCTCAAAACGCCATTTGAGGATTTCGTGAGCGTATTTTGGCGGGAAAATTGATTGAGCAAAAAAATCAGAGGGCACCCTTTCGGAAATCTGACGAATTTGTGAAATGATGAATGGGAAGTGTTTTGGGTTTTGGATCTCTCTGCTCTGGCGTTCGTTTGCTCCTAATTTCAGGGTTTGACCTAATTTGATTGTCATTTGGAGCCCATTTGGGCATCCACTGACATCACCGTCATCCAATTTTTTATTCTATTTTATTTCTTGATTTTGGGAACTTGCATGATCTCTCTTGTATTATTTATTTATTTTTATTTATTTATTTTTTTGGGAGAGGTATTACTTTTTTAATAAAGTACAAAAAATTAGCTTAATTATTGGTGTCATGACACTTTTATATCTAATCTTTTAGAATTGAAAATGTCATACCTCATTTTATGAATTTGTGCCAATGTCAGGCCTCTGTCAGTTTTTCTGTTAATTTCTTTGTTAAATGCTGACATGGCCAGTGACAGGACTCACTTACTACTCCAACTAGATTAAAAGATAATTAAATATATTTTTAATAATTAAATATTCAAAAACTAAAAAAATTAAGAATAAAAAAAAATTTAATGGCCTAGTGGTGTGGGCCTTCCCTTTCTTCCACCTGCACCAACCCTTTTTGTTCTTCTCTTCGACAGTCCCCAAACCCTTCCCCGTCCCCCAACCTTCCTCCACCACCATCTCTCTCTCTCTCTCTGGGATATGGTCTCCCTCGTCTTCTTCTTCATCCTCCAACCACCCTCCCCATAACATTCGTGACGAGGCTCGCAGCCACAACACCACCCACTCTTAGTACTAGCGCAAGAGAAGAAGAGAGGGTGGCAAGTACTGGCAGGCCCCTTGGTGTCCCCGCCGGAATGATTGCCTCGCTCGAGCGGGACGAGGGCAAGAACAGAGGAGTGAGGCCGGTTGACGGTGTGCAAAACGACACGAGGGAAGGCACTTATGTGGACCCCACCGTCTAGGACCTCAGTTTCGTGAGGGGCGGGATTGACTGCTACAGCAGATGGGGGGTTGCACTTGGGTCGAGCTCGTTGTCGTCTTCGGCAGCAGCATAGGCGTCGTCGTCGTTGTCCTCGCGCTTGTTCCAGCGAATATGGGAGTTGCGCTTTCGCTTCCTCCATTTGCCGTGTGAGTCTGGAAAATTCAAAACAATGTTGGAGTGAAAATAGAAATTGTGGAGTACAGATTGCTGTGTGTGTAATCAATTGAAATGTGTTTGAATTTCTAGAGAGAGAAAAAGGTGTAGAGAGAGAAGAGGGTTTAGGTCTAAGTTTTACCTAAAGGATAAGCTGACATTTTTAGAAGAGATAGTGAATTGGAGATTTGTGGGGACTTTGATTGGCTCAAAATTAGAAATC